GTACGTTTTGTAGCGCGTTCAACGCTCTACGAACGATCTACAAAACGCTCAAACACGAAAATCCCATTGTTTTCTATGGGTATGGTTCACACCTTGCCGTATTTCAGCCCGTCTGAGCGCGCTACAAAACGGCCTACGCCTGAAAAGGTACATGAGCTTCTTTGCGGCGTTTTTGTTGTGCGTTTCCATTGGGATACAGCCAAGTAGCCCACGAAAACGCGTGTTTGTCGTGCGTTTTTTACCGTGGATCGTGGTAAAAAAGCACGTCACAAGGCTGGGTTCACACCTAGGCGTATTGAATATGCGCGTTTGTCGCGCGTTTTTACCATAATTTGCGGTAAAAAAAACGTGTGACAAGCGCGCGTTTCCGAGGGCTACTTGGCTGTATCCCAATGGAAACGCCCGACCAAAACGCCCCAAAGAAGTACATGCCCAAAACGCCCAGATGGGAACTATGCACATTGAAAATAATGGCATTTCCCTGTTTAAGCGTTTTTCCGTGCGTGCGAACGCGCGGAAAAACGCCCAGATGGGAACCGGGCCTAAAGCATTTGCAGGACTGCTGGGGAAATGGGCCCAGCTGTGGGATGTATACAATGCCATGTCTCTGGGTACACCAATGGCAGTAAACGTTTCAGAAGACCACATCTGGGCTCTGTATAATCATGTACATTTTGATGAGGAAAGTGGTGGTGGTGGTGGGGGGAGGGACAAGTACACTTATTAAAGGTACATCTATCCTTCTCTGCCAGAGCACAAAACTAAAACAACTTGAAGCTACTTAGGAGGTGTGGGGATCTTGGAGACTATAGTGCAAGAGAATGAGGGAAAGGGAGATGGCGAGAGAGAGCGAGAAAGTGAGATGGCAAGTTGGAGAGAGAGGCATTGGGAAAGAGGTTGGGGAGAGAAGAAAGAGCCCCTTAACATTCCGATCAGGTTGACCTGTCAGTTTTTTAGACGGATCTGATTGGAAGCCCAGTGTTCGTCTATGGGCAGCCGGATTTAAATGGAAGTGTGTCGGTTTACATCCGATTACCCCAACTGCAGCCAGGTCGTGCCGCATCGTGGGGTAATCTGATGTAAATGGACATGACCAACATGGGTCCGGTAATTTAAGTTTTTTTCTCCATTGCAAGATGGGGGAAAAAACTAGACAGACACAGATGTCGCAACGATGACATTCGTTTAGAACTGCTCCGATCAGCAGGGGATCTGTGCATGGATGGAAAAGAGTGAATGGGAGAAATAGAAAAGGAGAGAAAGAGGGGGAGAGAGGGAGAAAGCAGGAGGGGGCGGAGAGAGAGAGGAGGAAAGAGAGATAAGGGGAGAAAGAGAGAGAGAGAGAGGGAAGAGAAGCTAAATGTGGAACCAAAACACATAAATCAAAAGACTAAATGAAATTGAGAAAAAAAAAGAAGATTTCCAAAACCCACTAGATACACAAATTACACTAGAAAGTAACCCGGATGTAAAGTGTTCAACCTGGTCCTGAGTGTTGATAACTACCCCTTTAAGTATGGAGCCAAGGCCTCATATCACCCATCCATAAGAGTGGAGATCACTATGATCTAGGGATATAGGTCAGCAGCATGGTGGTTAAACTGTTCAATATTCTAAACAACAAAATCCTCACCTTCCTGAAACAGCATAATGTCTTCAACAGAAGCCAAGCAGGGTGCATGCCAAACCATGGTACTACAGATAGCATCTACACCATGTACAGTCTCTGGGTACAGCTAGTCCACAATACAAAACATAGGGAAATATTTGCCTGTTGTGTGTACTGTATTTTAAGAAAGCCTTCGATTCAGTGTGGCCCCTAGGCCTGTTCCTCAAAGTTCTGGACGGTGGAATAGAAGGTAAAACATATGATGTCATAAAGAGCTAATACACTGAGAACAGTTGCAGCAAACAAGTGAATGGGAAAAGAACAGAGTACTTCCAGCAGGCCCATGATTTTAGACAGGGCAGCAATTTAGGTCCAACTCTCCTTAACATATACATCAATAAACTGGCTGAAGCTCTAGAATCCCCCTCAGTACCCTTACTAACTCTACATGACAGCAAGGTGATACTATTACCAAAGAGTCATACAAGATAGCCTGAAAGTGCTGGAGAAATACAGTGTGGCATGGGCACTACCCAGCAGCCTAAAGAAAAACAAATGAAGAGTTTGTCCAGTTACACATACCATGACCTGGAAATGAACCAATCAGGAAGTCCCACACCAGCCATAGAGGTCCTGAAAGACAAGGCATGCAGTACCTTCTATGCCATTGAGATGCTGCTGTACCACCTAAAACTACCAATAAGAGTCTGGCTTAAAATATTCCACAGTGTCATCATCCCAATCCTCCTCAATGGCAGCGAAGTATGGGGACCTGTCACCTACCAAAACCAACCCAAGGACTCCATCCAAACAGAAATATTCCATCTCTAAGTGTGAAAGCACCTCCTCCAAGTCCATTAGAGCACCTGCAACAATGCTTGTTGGGCTAGGTTGGGCAGATTCCCTTTACTGCTCGCAGTACTGAAGACACTATCATACTGGGACCATTTACAAAACAATAGCTCACACCACTTTAAAGCCCTACTGGCCAACAAGATCCATTCCAAACCACTGGCCTGCAACAACTTATCACCACCTTGTCCATCCAAAGCTCCCAAACAAAAATATGGCAGAGAATGGAGAAATTAAATATTAAAGTCACATAAAATATTTACCAGTCACTACAGAGAGACTACAAACTGGCTCCATACCTGGAGATACTCCAAGACCCCAAAGACAGATAAATCCTGAGCCAATGCAGACAGAGTGTCCACAGCCTGGAAATAAAATCAGGTGGCACAAGAAGACCTACAAGCTTGAAGAGAAAAGACTGTGCCAGCCGTGTGATCAGGGAATCCTGCTACAGTGCCCCAAGTACTCAGCACTGGGGGACACTCACTTCCAGAAACTCTCTGTTCTCATCCTGGAATTCACTTCTATAGAAGAGAAGAGGAATCTCCACATTGTACTGGGAGAAGAGGAGCTAAAGGTGAAACAGCTGCAAGATGTGTTACAGACTGAGAGGAACATGAGAAATTGAGGACTTATAAATCCCTTCCCTGGACTCAACCCCTATCCTCCTTTATATTATCCCTTACCCCTGATAACACTCGTGAACTTACCTATTGCCTTCATTAATTACTTAATTGCCCCACTAATGTCCTATGACCTCCACATCCAACCCATAATAACTCCTCAAATGCTTTGGAAATACTTAAATGCGTTTGGTCCTGCCGAGAAAGAAAAGAGGAAGGGAAGGGGTAGAAAAGGATTTTATAGAATAGAGAGGAGAAATAAATACAAGTTCCAGCTGATAATTAGGCATAGAAGAGAGAGACATAATACACAAACAATCCCAGTTAAATATGACACTCCATGTCTTTACGGACCTTGCTTTGTGCACTGGTGCGCGGTCATGTTGGAACAGGAAGGGGCCATCCCCAAACTGTTCCCACAAAGTTGGGAGCATGAAATTGTCCAAAATGTCTTGGTATGCTGATGCCTTAAGAGTTCCCTTCAATGGAACTAAGGGGCCAAGCCCAACCCCTGAAGAACAACCCCACACTATAATCCCCCCTCCCCCCCACCAAACTTTACACTTGACACAATGCAGTCAGGGAAGTACCGTTCTCCTGACAACCGCCAAACCCAGACACGTCCATCGGATTGCCAGACAGAGAAGCGTGATTCGTCACTCCATAGAACACGTCTCCACTTCTCTAGAATCCAGTGGCGGCGTGCTTTACACCACGGCATCCCACGCTTTGCATTGCACTTGGTGATGTAAGGCTTGGATGCATCTGCTCGGCCATGGAAACCCATTCCATGAAGCTCCCTACGCACTCTTGTTCTGCCAATCTGAAGGCCACATGAAGTTTGGAGGTCTGTAGCTATTGACTCTGCAGACAGTTGGCGACTTCTGCGCACTGTGCGCTTCAGCATGCGCTGACCCCGCTCTCTCATTTTACGTGGCCTCCCACTTCGTGGCTGTTGTTCCCAGTTGCTTCCACTTTGTTATAATACCACTAACAGGTGAAAGTGGAATATTTAGTAGCAAGGAAATGTCACGGAACAATTGAATCCAATGATTTGGAGGGGTAGTCCCAATACTTTTGGCAATATAGTGTATATATATATATATAATTAGAGGAGTATATAGATATTGGAGGTTTACATAGATAATAGAGTAGTATATAGATATTACAGGGGTACATAGGTATTAGAGGGGTATGAAGATAATAGAGGAGTATATAGATATTAGGGGAGTATATAGATTTCAGAGAGGTATATATAGATATTAGAGGAGTATATAGATTTCAGAGAGGTATATATAGATATTAGAGGAGTATATAGATTTCAGAGAGGTATATATAGATATTAGAGGAGTATATAGATTTCAGAGAGGTATATATAGATATTTGAGGAGTATATAGATATAAGAGGAGTATATATAGATATTAGAGGAGTATATAGATCTCAGAGAGGTATATATGGATATTAGAGTATATAGATCTGAGAGAGGTATATATAGATATTAGAGGAGTATATAGATCTCAGAGAGGTATATATAGATATTAGGAGTATATAGATCTCAGAGAGGTATATATAGATATTAGGAGTATATAGATCTCAGAGAGGTATATATAGATATTAGGAGTATATAGATCTCAGAGAGGTATATATAGATATTAGGAGTATATAGATCTCAGAGAGGTATATATAGATATTAGAGGAGTATATAAACATTAGGAGTGTAGAGGGAGATGGATGCGCCCACACGGGCCGACCCTCCGTAGACTACGGCGGACGAACTCTCTGGGTATCCGTGCAGCCGGACGGGTGTCAGGGTAGGATGGCACAGTGACCCGGGTGTACATTGTGCGGGTGATAAACGGCGCTCAGGTTATCCCGGGTCACCCTTCACCTTCCAGTGGGCGGTCACGACCAGTGCCAGGCGGGGCCTGCAGCGTCTCTCTTTACGGCAGGGTTTGCAGCAGCGGCGTGTGCAGTGTGTGCGGACAGTAGAGACCGGCTGGATCCCGGGCTGCCGTGTGTGTGCAGCTCCCTCCTTTGCCCCGGCCGCCTCACCATGGACTATGACTTCAAGCTGAAGCTGACCGGAGAGCGGGAGCGGGTGGAGGACCTGTTTGAGTATGAGGGCTGCAAAGTTGGAAGAGGCACTTACGGGCATGTGTTCAAAGCCAAGAGGAAAGATGGGTGAGTGTGCGAGGGCCCCGAGCAGGCCTGGGGCCCCGGGAGCCCCTGCAGAGTGCCCTACGTGCCTGACCTGTGTGCAAGGGGCAAGGCTGAGTCCGGGGGGCGGCTAGGGGCAGTTCTGTGTATGAGAGCTACCCTATAGTGTGCCTGGAATCTACCCCCTCCCCCCTATTATAATACTCCACAGTGTGCCTGGAATCTACCCCCTATATATTATAATACTCCACAGTGTGTCTGGAATCTACCCCCTATATATTATAATACTCCACAGTGTGTCTGGAGTCTACCCCCTATATATTATAATACTCCACAGTGTGTCTGGAATCTACCCCCTATATATTACCCCACAGTGTGCCTGGAATCTACCCCTGCTATATATAATACCCCATAGAGTGCCTGGAACCTTCCCCCCCCTTGACTGGGATCCACCACTCTATATATTACCACCCCACAGTGTGCCTGGGCACAGAGCTAGGATACACTTCACTTCTTAAATACAGTGGGGGGAATTTATCAAAGCAATTGCGAGTGTTTGAACTTGCACGGAATATATTTGATGCACTTTGCACCAGATCTATGTTGCTCGTGTAATATTGCTCATAAATGAGATTAAATAGACTCCAGGAAAGAAGACTCGTAACTCCAGGCAAAAGCTTAACTGTCGCTTTTTGGAGAAGTGGTCATGGGGACTTATTTTTTTTTTTGTTAGGTACTGCTCCAGTTTCAGACAGCCGCAGGGCAAGTGCAGATGTAAACAGGTGCAGTTGGAAAAGTAGTGCAAGCTCAGGTCAGAACAGGGGGCACATGTAAAAGACAGATTTGCACATTAAAAGAAATGATCTAAGAGGCTAAAACTGTTGCAATTGCTTTGATAAATCCCCCCCAATGTATATAGTACAATATATTTTGTATACACAGTTCTCCATAGTGTGGCTGGGCACAGAGCTGTGAGATACATTATACACATAACACCCCATAGCATAGGTCCAGGGCTGGAATTTACCCTGCTATATTTTATATACATAAGGGCACATAGCTGGAATATACTGCCACTGTATATTAACTTCATCATAATCTATAGTGTGTCAGGGCATATTGGTGGCATTTATCCTACATTGTTATAAACATAAAGCCCCATTGTGTGCATGGGCACAGATCTAGCATATATCCTGCTATATATATATATAATATACATAATGCCCCATTCTGTGCATGGGCACAGCTCTAGCATATAACCTGCTATTTATAATGTACATAATGCTCCATTGTGTGCATGGGCACAGATCTAGCATATATCCTGCTATATATAATATACATAATGCCCCTTTGTGTGCATGGGCACAGATCTAGGATACACTCTACTTCTTAAATAAATAATGCTCTATAGTGTGTCAGGGCATTGTGGTTGCATATATCCTACAATATATTATATACACAGTACTCCATAGTGTGCCTGGGCGCAGAGCTGTCAGATATCCTACATTATTTTATACACAACACCCCATAGCATAGGTCCAGGCACATAGCTGGGATATACTGCCACTATTAACTAAATCATAATCTATAGTGTGTCGGTGCATATTTATGGCCTTTATCCAACATTGTTATATACATGATGCCCCATTGTGTGCATGGGCACAGATCTGGCATATACCCCACTATATATAATATACATAATGCACCATACTGTGCATCGACATAGGGCTGGTTTATAACCCACTATATACTGTATACTTTCCCATATTGTGCATGGATACAAAGCTGAGATTTATTCTACTACATATATTGTATACATAATACCCCATAGTGTGCCGGGGTACAGAGATGATATATAATATACATGATGTCCTAAAATGTGTCTGCACAGAGCTGGCATAAAGAACACTGAGGGGAATTTATCAAAACTGCAGCAGACAAAATCTGGAACAGCTGTGCATGGTGACCAATCAGCATCCACCTTTCATTTCCACATTTTAACTGAGCAAACTGAAGAGAGAAGCTGATTGGTTGACATGGATAACTGCTACAAATTTTGTCGGCTCCAGTTTTGATAAATTCCCCTCACTATGTATTATATACATGATGCCCCATTGTGTGCCAGGGCACGAAACTGGTTTATACACCACTATGAGACTTGGGACTATACAGAGTTAATACTATTATTACATATGAATAATGGACACCCCGTGTTATCCTGGTGGTAGTGTGTATAACATTGATAGGTCCACATATCACAGGTTACGTATATCATACTCTATGAATAGACAGGCAGAATGTATATTTTATAATAAGCTGTGTATTGAATTGTTGGCCACAGATGACGATGTAATGGGTTATACATATTCTTTTTACACCCGAATAATAGTTTCTTAGGAGCTAAGAGGCCATTCACACTGTGCAGTTTGGTTTTCCTGCTGCAGTAGCCTACAAATTCTTGCAGCAGGAATCCCAGATCTACTGTTTAGATTCGGCCGCTGTCACCTGTTCAAGTTAATGACCGTGTGACAGCTGCCGCATCTGTAAGTGGCAGCACGCACATATTCGTATGTGATACAATTTCATGTAGAATAGATGCATCCAGGGACAGTAATCTATTCCACACCGCATGTAATCATCACATACGATTAGATGCAGAGTGCTGCTTAGAGATGCGGCCGCTGTCACCTGGTCATTAACTTGAACAGGCACAGCAGCCGCATCTAAACGGGGCATATGGGATTCCTGCTGCAGGATTCCTAAATCGCACAGCGTGAATGTAGCCTAACCCATTTAAATACACTGACTTTTGCTGGCTTAGCTACAGCTGATCCCACGTAACAGGTTTATACCTTCTAATGTATTGCACACAATTGATCCAAATTCTGGGTTCGTCTCTTAAAATATATTACATTGTTCTAGGCAAATTTACTGTATGAAGCAGCGATCTGACTTTCACCCAAAAATCACTGCAGTTTACTTTCTGGTGGATGTTTTAAATGAGGGATTGATTTACAGGCAGTGGAAGTCACATAAAAGATGAATAAATCACATTATACATTGCTGTGTTAGTCGGAGAATGCCACTTACTACAACAAGTTATAAATATCGCACTGTAATATGTATGACTAATACGCTGGTTTGAGATCCTAAAGTAAGCTGGATATGGCGTTGTATGCAGAGAATTTACCAAAGACCTGTACACAAATAATGTTGTGAATACTATATTGTAGTACATATGATTAATAGACTCTAAGTTACTATGTTACTTTTCAAAATTCCAACATATAAAAGATACATTCTCATGAACATACTCTGTGCGTTATTGTATATTTTCATACATGATCCCAATATTATAACAGATGTCGTACTGTCATACCAATCAGCCAGACCATATTGCCCACTGACCAATAAAGTGAATAACATTGATTATCTTGTTATAATGTCTCCTGGAAGTGGGTGGGATATATTAGGCAGCAGGGGAACATTTTGTTCTTTAAGTTCATGTGTTGGAAGCAGAAAAAATGGGCAAGTGTAAGGCTTTGAGCGACTTTGGCAAGGGCCAAATTGTGATGGCTAGACAATTGGGTCAGAGCAACTCCAAAGCTACAGCTCTTGTGGAATGTTCCCGGTCTGCTGTTGTCACGACCTACCAAAAGTGGTCTAAGGAAGGAAAAGCGGTGAACCAGAGACAGGCTCATGGGCCGCCAAGGCTTATTGATGCACATGGGGAGCACAGGCTGACCTGTGTAGTCCGATCCAATAGAAGAGCTACTGTAGCTCAGATTGCTAATTAAGTTAATGCTGGTTCCGAACACACAGCACATTGCAGTTTATTGTGTGTGTGTGCCCATGCTGACCCGTGTCCACCGTCCAAAGCGCCTACAATGGGCATGTGAGCATCAGAACTGGACCATGGAGTAATAGAAATAGGTGGTCTGTTCTGATCCATTTTTTTCTTACATCATGTGGATGTCCGGGTGCATGTTTGTCGCTTACCTGGGGACGTTATGGCACCAGGATGTACTATGGGAAGAAGGCAAGCCGGTGGTGGCACTGTGTTCTTTGGGCAATGTCCTGCTAGGAAACCTTGGGTCCATTTATATGGATGTTACTTTGACACATATCCCCACCTAAACATTGTTGCTGATGGCAGTGGCCTCTTTCAGCAGGATAATGTGCCCTGCCACACTGTAAAAATGGTTCAAAACAAACTTTTCCGACCCCATTCGTTTCTCAGTTTAGGTTGTTTCCTACCGTCCAGGAGCAGAAAGGTGTTTGTTGTTTTTGTCCAGATGGCTGTTAAGCAGTCCCCCTCTTGATGCAGATATGTCTCGTATGCCTTGCCTTGATCAGAGACATATGCCCCTTTCTGAATCTAAAAGCGCTCAATGTTTTAATTTGCATGCAAACATTCCACATGGTATCTACAAGGTCAGACGTTGTCTTCCTTTGTCAGGGAGACTCCACTTACCTCTGTGGACATCATAGATCCCTGCTTGCATGTTCACATCAAACCTACCTGAATTTTGCTATGTGCATGCAACTTCTGGTTCGTTGCCTTTCCCTTTTGGTCCGTCCTCTGCACTTCGAGTCTTCACCTAGGTGCTAACCTTCTTACGTTCACAGGGCACCCCCATTGTGGTGTATCTAGACTACCTCCTGCTGAAGAAACATTCGGCACAGATTCTGGTGACAAGCCCTAAATATGCAGAGCTTGCAGAAGACCTACAAGTCCATGCTAGAGCTGACTCCTGGTTTGAAATATTTGGGTCTAATCCTAAACACAGCTCAAGAGTTTTTCTTCTCCCCCAGAACATTTCTGCTCCTAGACTCGGACTCTTCAGTCTGGGATATGTCCAACTTTAGCATTCCACTCCAGATTGTTGCAATTTAACATTTGGGACTGTGGAACAAAAAGCCATAGATTAATTGCTGCTTCAAAATTGCTAGTCTGAAGGCCCTCACACTCATTGCTGACGATATACTGAACACTCCCTTTTAACTTTAAACTGTAAAAATGT